ATGCCACTGGCCCCATTCACCAGTGTCTGGTCATCGAGGGGAAGAATTGCTTGGGGTATTTTTACTATAACCCTGGTAGAAAAATGGGAAATTCAGGTTTTGTGGTGTCTTCTTTCCTATAATAATCCTTATTTCCTTTAAAAATGCAGTTGAGCTCCTAGAATCAGAGTCTGGTTGGAATCGTGTGTCTGTCCCTTAGATCTCCGTGGAGACAATGAGCTTTCTGGAGCCCTTTGGTGGGAACTTGCCCACCTCCTGGGAAGAGACACCCCCTAGGACACCCCAGACTGTTGCTAATTGTGACTTATCTTGGGTTTAGTTCTGCCTCGACGGTCCGAAGGTGTAACTGAACTCTGGGTCTGTATGTCGCTGAGGTTGGGATCAGACACAGTCCCAGGGGAAAATGCTCGGCTTTCCCCATGGGCGGATCCATAAAAACTCCTGTCCTGGGTGCAGCCGAGCTCGGCAAAGCAGAGGCGGCGTGCGGAACGGCTAACCTGGGTGCTCTAGGCCAGAGGTCAGGAGCGCGTTCATTGGGGTGGAAAGACAGTAAGTACGGATCTAAGGGCAGGAATTCCCGTTCCTTCTCTCGGAAGGAGTTGATAGTCGTCAAGCAGGTCCCTGCCACGCAGAAGCTTGGCAGCGGTGGCTGTGGAGCGTGGCGGGGTCGGGACCGCGTGGGTTTGGCCGGAGAGGTTGGCCGAGGGCTGCGCCCGCACTTCTTCAACCCCTTTGAGCATGGATGTTCAGTCTGTCAATGTGCGTTGGCAGCGATCCTGGAATATTCAAATCCACGGACACAACAGAGACCGGGAGTTTCCCTCCTCTGTCCCAGTCGCTGGTTTCTCTGCAGGTGCTGGGGTTTGGGGTGGCGACGGCCGATTTCGGAGCTGTTGGGGTGGCATTCTGACGCCCGGGAGGTAAAACCGCTGCGTCTCTAAGCCCAAACCGAGGGTTTGCGCCTCCGGCCTCACAGACCTGTCCGAAAGGGATACCCGGCCTGTTAAAGTAGGATGTGGAGTTGACTCTAGAACCAGAGAAATAAGTTAAAAAACACCTGAAAATATGCAGCGTGTTTGTTTTTCTTTGGAATCCTGGGAAATAAAAGCATCGTTCATGCTTGTGGCGCTATGGTTTTTCCTACAATGAGACTTAAAACACAGCTTTCCAGTAAAGGTGTCTCTTCCCTTTGCAGGATGGCGGACACGGACCTTTTCATGGAATGCGAGGAGGAGGAGCTGGAACCATGGCAGAAAATCAGCGACGTGATTGAAGACTCTGTTGTGGAAGATTATAATTCAGTTGATAAAACTGCTACGGGTAATGAACTGTCTTGGTCTGGAATTATTCCCGTTACCGGTGGTAAGATGTGAGGGGAGATGGCAGGGGTCGGCGACATCCGGCGAGTTGTTGTCATTGATTGCTCCACACCCCCTCCTGTTAATGGGTAACGTAACGAGTCTCCGTTTCTCTGATGGTGAACAGCGCCTGGGCGCTGGGTAGAGCTGGGGGTGCCGTGCCAGGTCCTGCGGAGAAAGCAGGTCGGGAGGCAGGAAGTGGCGTTCCTCTCCCCGCAGAGGTAGGATCGCTGCGGGTCTCGGAAGGGTGACCTGCTTGAAAGCGGTGAAAGGAGCTTTGGCCGGGCTGTTCGTGTTCTACAGCTGCAGCAGCAGCTTCTTTAAAGGTTAAGAATTGGTAGTTTACACAGATGACGCTTTTCCTTTTGCCAAGCGCTCCGGCACATGCCAGCCCTCGGCGGTGACGAGCTCCCGATCCTCCCGGCAGCTCTGAAGTGAGTGAGGAAGTCACCTACTTGATGGCTGAATCAGCTTTCCTGTGACTCTTGTAGTCCAGAGTGAGATTAGAACTAGTCTGCTCGTACGTATTTCACCCCCGATTCCCTGTCAGCGCTTTCACTTGGGTGTTCCCTCTGGGTTTGTTCCCTGTTCTCTCTGACTGTCGAGAGCTCGCGCTCGGCGTGTGGGTCGGAGCGCGGTGTTGCCCACCGCCTGGCTCGAGTCCTGGGAAATGGGGGCCGGTAAAAAGCAATGAGTGCACGAGGGAGGCTTCGTGTTTCGGATGCTGCGCCATCGCTCCGTTTGTGGTGGAACCTGACCGAGTGCCGGCGCGGGGATGGCGCTTTCCGGTGGTCGATCTATGATTCTATGATCTCTCGCGGTGTCGCCGCAGCGCGTCGGGCCCTTGTGTGTGTACACGAGCGAAACCCTGATGGTGGGCGTTTCACCCCGGGGGAGTAAATGAAACCTGATCGGGATAAAAACTCTTGTTCCCTTGGGGTCTTGCCGAACGCTCGCTGTGGTGCGTGGAGAAAAGGATTCTTGCCCGGCGCCGCGTGTGGGTGAAGCGGACTGGAGTGTTTAAGTTAGGCTTTTGTTCAGTTACGGGGTCAGCTGAGTGTCTGGACGGGAGATGGGTCCGTGTCCCGTTGCAGGCCGGGGATAACCAACGCTGATGGCAGCGACCCTCGGCTCTGGCCCCAGCGTGAGGTGCCGCCCTGGCATGGTCGGTGGCGCTGCTGGCTCCTGGCAGTAGCTGTTGTACCCGCTCGTGGTTACCGTGGGGGTGGCTGTGGGGGTGTTACCTCCAGGTAAGGTGTGAGTGAAGGTCCTGGCTACTCAGGCTCACCCTGGTGCATCGGGTGCTTTGAGCTGGTGTGCGGCCACGTTCCGAGGTGGATTATTCCGGGGGTTTTCTGCTGTTGTGCTTCGTTTCGGAGGCAGCTGACACGCTCTCTCCGTGTCATTTAACGTACTGACACGTCAGGTGGGGTCGGGACTCCCTGGGATTAAGGAGCTGTACAAAACACGTTTGTCAGATGCACCTAAAAGTCACTGCGTCGTTTTTATTAAAGCCTGCTGGGTGAGGAAGGCTCCATCCGCTGCTGGGAGCTGCTGCCTCTGGAGTTCAGGATACTTTTGAGACTCTCCCCGTGCGTTAGCTGCCCCCATGTAAGACACTTGTGATTAACGCTTCATGGCTTTACCGGGAAAAACGGTTTGAGGCAGACACTGTAAATCCATTTACAAGGAATTAATAAAGGTGTGGTGATAGCGCTGGGCTCTAATTAGATCAGCGGCAAAGAGGGAGGAGGGCAACTGCTGGAAAAAAAAAACCTGCTGACAGCGATGTACTTGTCAGTGAGACGTCTGTGTACCCTCCTGGCAAGTTCAGATACCCCTCCGTGGGACCTGCTGCCCAGATGATTCCCAGATCCCGCTCCAATGAGTGGATTTGTACAGGAATTGAATCTGGAGAGGCCTTTGCCACATCCTCAATTGGAAAGGGTTGTGCTGAATCGCGCCGGGTTGGGAAACTTTCTGCTTCGTTCCTGTGTTTGTCGCTTATTTGAGCGAAGAGCCACGGTAAGCCCTGGGAACTGATCCCGAGTTCCAGCATCTGCCTCCAAAACGCAGCGAAGAAGGTTGGAAAAGAAAACAGAGGGATGGTTTTGCCTTCCTTTCTGCCCCTCCGGCGCAGTCCCAGCGTGCGGTGGGCTGCGAGAGCATTGGGGTCAAGGAGGGTTGCTGCTGTAGGCTGGCCAGGCACATGGGTTTTCCGTACGCGTGGCACCGTCCTGGGGGCACAGAATGGTTTTCCCAACGGCATAGTTCCTCGCAGGCTTCCGAGAAACCTTTCCCTGGAAAGCTGGTGTTACGTTTCTCGGCATTAATCGCTCCGGCGTAGACCAGAGGGATGAAATCGGAGGCGTAGCTGCCTCCTCTCCGCGCCAGGTTTGCCCTCCCCTCCTCGTGGGCGGCATTGCGGGTTGGGGTCTCTCTGCCCCATCGTGCCGGGGGGTTGTAGGATGTTGTCAAGTCGTGTTTGATCAGAGGACTGCTCTTGGGCTGCTGAAAACGGGGAAGCCTGAGGCATGTTGGTGTGCCCGGCACGAGGGGAGGGAGGGAAGGACCTTCGCAGCCCCACACGCAGTTCTGTTCTGACTGGGCAGCTCAGCCAGCTCTGGCAGCGCCATCCAAACGAAGGATCCAGGTATTCCACAGCCCAGCCATGGCTCTAGGGGTCAGGGTCAGCCTGAGGAGGTTCGTGTTTTGCTGATCCGCTGGAATGGAAAAAACCAGGCGAGGGTGCAAGGAGCCGGCGGTGGGAGTGCGGAGTGTTCCCGGTTTCCCCCCTCGCCAAGCGGGAGCCTGTTCAGTGCTTTGGGATGGATACCATCAGGTGGAGGGAACACGGAAACATGCTCAGTTTTGCACCTCTGGAGCGCTTCGGTTTTCATGGTGGAGTAAACTCTGCGCTCGCTGTCCTGATGCGGAGGCTGGCTCAGCCCGTTACCCTCTGGACCAACACAAGCAGCGTTTTCCAGCCTGGCCGCCTTGTTCCCGAGTGTTGCATCCGTCGAGTCATTCCCTGCTCATATGACACCACTTCGACTTGCAGGGGAATCCTTCCTGGCTCAACGCCAGCCAGGATTTTGAGTGGCAAAGTGCCACCGGGACATCTGTCACCTCTTGAGTCCCGGCAGCCTCTGCTGGCCCAGTGACTGAGGGTCACATCCCAATTGAAGTTGTGCCTCTGGAACACTCAGGAAATGAGCCGTGGCTGGAGTCAGCCCAGCTTTCAGCAATCTGCTTTTTTACCCTCATGGCTGTCGTCTTGCATTTTGGTGTACATTAATTAAAAAGCCTTACAAGCTGGGCCTGAAAAGACCCGTTAAATCCATCCGTTCTCCCAGTGCGAGGTTTGTTGGATTTTTGGATTGGTTGTTTTTCCCCTCTAGGATGTAATTCATCCAGGAGCAAGCCTGGAGACCTAAAATTTACCCTTTTCTTAAATAACTGCATCCATATCGGTGATATCCGTCAAGATCATGCGTCACCGAGCGTGCCGGAACAGAGGTGTATCCCGGTGTTGTACCTATTCTTGGGGTGAAGCGCATCCTGGGATGGCTAGAAATGACCCCGTGTCCAAATCCCAGGAAACAGGCTTTCCAGTCTAAAGATGGAGGTATCTTTCAGCTTCTTTTTTTTCCCATCTTTCTGCTGGATCCAGATTTTTTCCCTGCAGGTTAGTTTTAACGTTACCCAAAGCTCAATGTGGTCGAAGTGATGCTCGGCCTGATCCCCCCGCCCCGGATTACAGATCCGTGAGTAGCGAGCTGGTGTAACATACTCCTCCATCCCTTTCCACAGAGGCCTCGTATCCAAAAAAGCCCCCTTCTTGTCCACGAGAAAATGGGAAGGGGGCCACGCGGCCTGACAGCCGGCTCCTTCCTAATAATTCCATCGTCAGATAAAAATAGGACGTAGGTGACCAAGCACAGGTACGGGTCAGGCGGAGGATGGCTGGAGAGCAGCTCCCCGGCAGGACTTGGAGGTGCTGGGGGATGGGAAGCTGGATGTGAGTCTGGACCGTTGGAGTGGCAGTGTCAACCCTCTCCTTTGCAGGCTTCCGGTGTTTGGAAAGGTCTCTGCTCCTTGAAAGATTTGGGGGTGACTGCCTGCTCCTGGGCAGCCACCTACGGTCCTCGAGACAGCGAGGAGGAGCAAATCACCTGCTGATGCTCTGGGTGTGGGTTTTCATCAGATACCCGGCGGGCTGTAGGTGTCCAGAACCTGGCAGAGCTGCGTGAAGGTTCTGCTCGTCTTTTTCCTCAACTGCTCCGTCCCTTCTCTTGGATAACGGCCTCGTTTGCGGGAGTACTGGGGAGGGGTCGCCTCTTGGATTTTAAGATGGCAAATCCAGTCTGTCTCTGGTTTTCATTCGCTCCTTCCGTCTTGTGTCTGTCCCTCGCTGAGACCTTGCTTTGGAAGACAGCGGAGCCGGGAGCGTGTCCTCTCCCTCGCTGGGGCTTGGAGGCCGCGTGCGCCGAGTCCAGACAGCGGTGGGTTTGTGCTCCTTGATTTTGATCCCAAAGAAGCAGCTGCTCAGAGACGGGCTGCTGGCCTTCAGGATGCCTCGGCATCTCCCTCCTCCGCCCCGATTTGAGGTTAAATTTGCCGATTAATGCTGGTTTTGGGGTGTTTTTTTTGCCTTCATGCCGCGGAGGTGGGAGCTGGTGTCTTTTCTAGCAGCCCTCCTCCTTGAGAAAGCGAGGCGCAGTGGTGTTGCTTGGATCCGGATCTTCCCGTGGAGCTTCCGTAGCTGTTTGTCCTAGCAAACCTTCCTGGGAACGTTTGGATCGTACGCCCCGAGGAGTGTCAGCCAGCAGCATCCAGGCTGTCTCTGGAAAGCGTCTTCCATCAAAGGAATCTGCTTTGGCTGTGGGTCAGACCGTTTTGGCACGCAGCAGGTCTTTCCCTGGATTTACACCGTCGTGTGGGGAGCGTGTGCCGTTGGGGTCCAGCAGCCCTCTCCTCTTAACGATTCCTTTGCAGCCCTGGGATAACCCGGATCTTCCGTCGGTCTCGTGACGCGCTGTGCCGCCACTTGACAGTGGGAAGATTCCTACGTCGCGCTTCCGTCTGCCCACTGGGAAGCCCTTTGCTCTCAAGGCGTGGATTATAGCAGTGGGATTGAGGAATGTTTTCTCGCTTCCCTGAGCCGCGTGCGACCTGTGGCCTCCTGGCAGGAGGTGGTACGTGCCCTGGAAAAAATGAAGCGTGTGGATACGGCGTCTCGGAGAGCTCGGGCTCACGGAGGATGAGCAACTCATCTAACCTGCTTGGCTTTGGCCATCGCATCGACGCGGGTCAGCTCTGTGCCCCTCGAGCGATGGTGTGAAAAGGCTCCTTGGGGACTCGTTTATTTGGGTGACGACGGTGGCGTTTTGCTGGGGAATTCTCCAGCCACGTGCTGACCCCGCGCTCGGAGCGTGGTCCCTTGGCCTGTATCTCTGACCGAAGGCTTTACGCGATGGCGCGCCGGGACTTCCCCTTCGCCCTGCGCGTGGGGTCGGGGCGACGCTGGACGCTCGCCTTCGGCTGTTGGTTTCCCCCAACCGCTGTAAAACCTGGAGGTGGCATTATTCCTCGTGGGAATTACGGTGATGTAAGCCGAGTGGTTTCCCTCCCACCTGGAGCTGGCTCGGAGCG